AATTAATCAGCAACCGCAGCCGGCGATCTCCGTATCACCGTATAAAAGCTGGCCTAGGGCATTGCCAACCGAGTCAGTCCCGCAGTGGAAGCAGTCGAGCACGGACTCGAAGGGATCGGAAACTTGCTCTCGAAGATGCGTGCCACATTGGTGAGTGGAGTGATAAGCACATGTGGAAGACAGCTAACCTATATTCATTCCAGTTTTTCCTCGGCCTCTTGGCCATCAGCTACTGGGAGGAGTCCCATGGTCATGTAGTGCCCGTGGGCCTTCCTGCAGTCGGAACCTATCTGCTGTCTCCACCCGTTGTTCTGCTAGTCCAACCACCTCCTCCTCCGCCGGAAGACGATGGCTCCTACAAGCCGCCTTTGCCCCCCGCAGATGGCTCGTGGCAGCCGCAGCCTGGTCTGGAGGGAGAGTACTCCGACCCTGAATTAAGTCAGAGTGGTAGTGGGAGCGTTGCAGCCAGTGACGAAGGCGCTGTTGCCCTGAGTTTGGTAGCCTCCCAATCTGTTGACGCTCAAGATGCCCCTGCTCCGGCGGAGGCCGGGGGAGCAGGAAGTGCCGGACAAGCGGGACAGGCTGGAGCACTTCAAGGCGGTGCGGGCGGAGCAGGAGGCGCTGGTGGTGGAGGCAGCGCTGGAGGCGGTGGTGGTGGAGGCGGCGGCGGCGGTGGAGGAACGGCCACATCCGGCCAGAGCGGCGACAGTGGACAGCCTGGGGCGCCGAGTCCGGCGGGTCCTCAGCCCGATGGCGAAGATGGCGCCGATGGAGCCGATGGGCCAGACGGTCCGGATGGCTCGAAGGGCGGAAAGGGTGGCAAGGGGGGAAAGGGAGCACGCAATGGAGCCGGAGGCGGCGGAGGAGCTGGAGGAGCTGCTCCCCAGCCACCAGCGGCAGCGGTTCCTGTCCAGGCGGCCGTGCTGGTTCCTGCTCCCGTTTGGGCCGATCCAGAGTCAAATCTGATGTAAGTAAATATTCAGCTGTGAAATATGTACATCACCAAGACTATCATTTTCTCACATTACTTGCAGTCACGTTGTGTAAACGCCCGGTGACCTTTGTGCCATTTGCCTTAACCCCATTTGATGGTCATTTAAGTTAGTCCTTAAGCTAGTCAATGTTTTTGGAGGCCACATTTACCCTAAGCTAAGGCAAGCGAATATTAAAATTCGATCACAAAGTATTGGGGTTTATGGTTTTATTTCATCACACATGGTGAACAAAGGTCAAATGGTGGTCACATAGGCGACCTTTTAATATATAAGTTGCCCTAATGAAAATGGGTTAGACACTTTATTTTCGACGAGTTCTATATTAAATCTGAATTAATACTAAAACGAGTTCCTCGAATATAAGATACCTGTTACTCAGCTAGAAGTGCGAACGAGCAATCTCAACATTTTCTACAATATCGGTAGTAATTGGAAAAAAAATATTGAATTGAAAAACAAATTTTAAAATGTAGCAAAAGTGTGGCAAAACGTTTTCTGGCAAATCGAAAAAAGTTATAAGACTAATAAAATATAAGAAAATGAAAAAATATCGTAACATTTTTCAAAAGAGTGGGCGTCCCACAGGCAAACTTGACTGTTACATACTTTTCAACGAAACTAGTATACCCTTTAACTCTACAAGTAACGGGTATGACATCCTCAGCAGCTGTCAATTAGAATCGGATGTGTACAAAAGCTCAGCTTTCGAATGTCGGGTTAAGTAATGCATAAATTATGCCCAAAAGTAGGCAATGTAATTTACATATGCTTTTCCCTAGCCGATTTTGCAGTGGAAAATGCTAATTACATGCCAATCAGTTGATGTTAATTTTGAAGAGGGAGCTTCCAGACATGTTTCAGCCAGCACCAAAATAGAGCATTTAATACATTGTATCACGAGCGGCTTTTAACTGAATATTCAAGTGGGAAAAGGTCAAACCCTAAGGAAAACTATACTATCCTTTCAGTTTCTCTGTCAAACTTTTTACCAATTTCTGCTTAGGTGCATTCTTTGTTTTTCTATTCAATATCAGTTTCCTGCACACTTGTCTCAGCTTTGTCGGGGCAAAAGTGCTTCTTATTACTTCGATTTTCATGGTTTCGTGTGCCTTACTTTGTTGCACAAATTGCGCGAATCGCTAGAAATCGAATTTTCAGCGTTGCACTATCTGCGTTGCAACAATGATTCTGCCTCATTCGTGTGTGCTGGCGCTATTTGCACTGATATCTTCGAAACGTCTCGCAAAGTGGATGAATCCTTATCGAAACAGCAGCTGCGACTAAGTATCAGCTAGTGCTTAGACACGATTCCACTTTCGCGGATTAAAGTTGATTGCGTAACAAATGGAATATCCACCGGAAGATGGCCAACTTAACACTGTTATAAACTGGGACTAAACATTTCTTACGGCTAATATCAATGGACTAGCTGTGGAAGCATTTGTTGCCAGCTAATAGTTTGCGATATCAGGATAATCAACCATTAATAAGTAAAGCAAGAATAGTGCACAAATAAAACACCTAATTTTTTAGGTATGAAATGGAATTATAAAACAAATACAATATTCAGTCAATTGTATATAAAACTATACTAAGTGTAGGAAAAAAATGAAATGTATAAAAACTTTAAATTTATTAATCATTCATAAACCAATAATTTTTGAAGGATTTTAGGAATGATAAGCTTACCAGATTTGCCTTTATACACTTTTTACATAGAGCTTTAAGGACAAAGTAAGTAAATAGTTTCTGTTTATATAAAATATTTTTTATATTCAAAGGATGGAGTCATTAATTCTTCTTCCAGTGGATAACAGCGTTTATAATGTATGGCTCCTTTCTCATCCGACTAGCAATTTATTTACACAACAATTACCGATATATTTCGACACCCCAGCTATTGCAACATGTATTCAAATCAGATCAATTAGGCCATAAATTAACGCCTAAGCCATAAATTAAATTTATGTAAAACATAAGACCCATTTGACCAAAGATATGCAAAATGCCCCTCGACGTCAGAGCAACGCCCACCAAACTCAAGACAACAGAGCGTCAGAATAGCAGGGCCCGAAATCGCTTTCGGATTGTGTTGGCTTACAGTTTAGTGTTTACACAACAGCTGTGTCAGTTAAAGCCAAAAATCCGGGCCCTAAGTGCTGGGCCAAATGCCACACACATAAACTGGCCAAAACAATTCTGGCGGAAAACCACAAGGGGCATCGATTGGTTTGCCTAACTGGCGGGCAAATGCAAATGCAATTCTTCAAACGGAATGAAATTTTTGAAAGCTCGGAATACGAAGTGAGTGCAAATCAACGCGAACACTTGCAATAATATTGGTTGGTCGAAATTAGTTGGAAACAATGTTGCCGTTGCACATTCACTTTTGGCTGGAACCCGCGACCACGCCCCAACACTTGCGGCCAACTGGGCGGTGGTTCCATCGGGGATGGTGGTTCGGATGCGGATTCGGATTCGGTGGCGGGTTCTGCTGGCCAATTGGTCAGACTACCGATTTAGCTGGGTGGCAAATATTTTGAGCTGCAGATAAACACAATCGCTTGGCGAGTAATTCGAACCATTTGGGGGCTTTTATGTTCTGCCTGGCGTGTAATTAAATTAACTGCTGGGTCACTAACCGGATCGAAACAGACTAAGACTCCGAGCCCCACCTGTCCCACAAGGTCGAATATTTTTAAAAAACGATTTCACTTATTGCCTCCGTTAGCCGACAATTGGTCGTAAATCGAAATGCCAATGCATGCTTAATTAAATGGCAAGCGACCCATCCCCAAAGACGCTCCAAAATGTACGATAACTCGAGCTGGGCGCCTTTGTTTATGCGTGGAAAATCGAAAATTGAGAATCCCTGCCCACACTTTCACCTGCCGGCTGACCTTTGCGTGCCGGCCCAGGGTTGTTAATTTTTAATTAGCTACCGGCCTGCCTGTGAAATAAACTAGCCCCCTCATTGGCTCAAGGTTGCCCATTGGGCCGAAAGGTTGCACTTGGATTTATGGCGCCCAACGTGGGGCCAGGAGGCCAACACTCCTTGCCCATTTGCTGGAGCGCATTCTATTCGAACTTGACAAATGCCTGGAAATCTATTTACTCAAATTGTTTGCCCAGTTTCAGTGCTCCAATAGTTCGAGTCACCCGAAGTCGAGTGACACATTCCCCGCATAAGACACACAATTTTGCAGGCGGCTGGGCAAAAAATACAAGACTCATACCGCATTGATTGATTGTTTGTTCGCTCTCAGTGTCGTGCCACATGCAGCTATTCCCTGCTGGGGATTCAAAGGCCACGCCCACAAAGCCAGCCGCCCACCGCCCACCGCCCCGCACAGGGGCATTTCGACATGGAACACACAAACACATATATGCATGGGGCTATGCAAATTTCAATCGTTGCATTGCAAATATTTATGTTCCTTTCAATGCAGTCACTGTGGGTGGATGGGTGGATGGGTGGGTGGTGCTAGTTGTGCTAGTTGTGCGGTGCCAGTGATGGTTTAGGTGGTTGTTCTGGGTGGTGCGCCAGTTGACCTGAGACTGGGAAATATGCGACAGAGTTTGAAGTAAATGGAATATCCATCAGACAAGGCCAAACCTTAGAACTGGATGCCCTTTTAATTAATGTGACATAGCAAGAGAAATCACATGAAACGCGATGAAGATAAAACAAAACCGGGATCTAATAAGATAAAGCAGTAGAAGCTTTATATTCTATTTTTTTTTAAATTTATTTTAAATATTTCAACAGAAATAATTAATTAATTTTTTTGTTTGAGAAACGTGAATCATATAAATATGTAAAAAATTAAAAAAGAAATATATTTCTTAGCATTGTAGGGTGCTGTGGGCAAGCAGCATACCCTTAATACCAAGCATATTTAAAACCTTATCGAAAAAATTCAGAACATCCTGGTGGCTGTAAACAACATTTGATTTTGCACTCTGTATACCACAATCTCACCGCCAATTCCAAACACTTCAAAATGTGATCAAATACGTTTTTGCAGTTTATTTGTCTGTTTGCAGGTTCATATATAATATAGAGCTATATCTGGTCAGATACATAAAAATTACAACTGTTATTTACAACATACTCATACAGCGTTTCTCAATCGAAGTAACAGGAGAATAAAGGTATAGGTTTTCCGAGGAATAGGAATGAAGAGAAAGCGTAGTACAGAGAGAAGAATGTAGGTAGGTAGATGTGTGTGCTGTGACTGGATAAAAAATCCAAATAGGTCAAAACCCAGCGGGCAAGGAAGGCTTCCTTGGAAGCACTTCAATCTCCCGTGTGTAGTCGCTTTTAGTTTTCCGTATTTTTGTGGCAGAGGTTGAGATATGAAGTTACAGATAATAGAACAGACAGATGTATAGATAGACAGAGAGTTGCGAATGCTGTATAAAAGTGGCACTGGCGTGAGAATACGCAATGCAAAGTTACGCATACGCCACGCTGGCTTCGGTAGTCGGTTAGTCAGAGTGTATAGAGATGCTCGTCGTCGATCGGAAGTCAGACTCCTCTCAAGTGCCGACCACTTGCCACTTAGTAGTGATCGTAGTGTGCGTGGTACTGGCCATCATCCTCGTGTCCATTGCCGCCGTAGTAGCCACCATGGCTGACGGGAGCTCCATGTCCGGCGGCGGCCAATGCATTCAGATGCGCGGCGCGGGCGTGCTGCACCTCGGCGGGCTCCACGGGCACTCCGTTGTGGATGACCGGGATGTGGATGGGGCCCTTGTGCGCGTAGCCGGAGGCGTAGCTGTTGTGGCTGCTGTGGCTCTGCTCCCAGCGTCCGTCGTAGCTGCCATCGTCCCAAGATCCGTGCGAGGCTCCTCCGTGGGCGGAGGCCTGCGACAGGGCGGCGTAGTGGGCGGCCTTGGCGTGCTGCACCTCGGGCGTATCGACGGGCACTCCATTGTGGATTACGGGCACGTGATAGCCACCGTGGTTGATGGGGGCAACGGCATGTCCGGAACGGGCGGCAGCATGTGCGGCGAAGTGAGCAGCCTTGGCGTGCTGCACCTCGGGCGTCTCAACAGGAGCTCCGTGGGCATGAGCCACCTGACCCAGGGCCTTGGCGTGGGCGGCATAGTGTTCGGCTTTGGCGGCCTGCACATCGGGAGTATCAACGGGCACGCCTCCATGAGTCAGCGGCACATGGGCGGCCTGTCCGTAGGCCCATCCTCCGCCGTAGATAGAGCGCTTGTACAGGTGGTGTCCTCCGGCATTGTGGGCGGCAGCAGCGTGGGCAGCGGCATGGGCGGCCTTGGCGTGTTGCACTTCGGGAGTATCGACGGGGACGCCTCCGTGGGTCAGCACCGGGATGTGAATGGGTCCGTGGGCGTAAGGAGCATATGCACCATGGGCGTGGGCGGCGGCATAGACGGGAGCGGCATGAACTTGAGGAGCCTGAGGCAGGTTGGTGCCCACGGCGTTGAAGCCATGGTGCGGATCAGCGGTGTAGGACACCGACTGCACATGACCATTGCCATCCAAATAGGAGTAGGACCCGTGCGTGGTGCCGTCATGGCTGCGCGTCTCGTGCTTCTGTGAGTTGGGATCGGCGTATCCGTAGGAGTAGGTGTGGCTGTGCGGGTCCAGGTGCTGGTACTGTGTGGATACGGCTCCGTGCCACGAGGCGGACACCGTCGAGACCAGCAACGCTGCGGCAATAAACTAAATAAAAGTGGAAAAATATTCTTTGAATTTAACTACATTCAAGTTATTGTTGGTGTTGAGTATAACAGCGGTGCGATAACTGAACTGATTGTTAAGACAATTAAATGTGATGAATTTTCGAGAAATAAATTGATATCGCATCTCACATTTTATGAAAATAAACTTAGGCAGGTCTTAATATAAATCTATTTGATTTTACCTCTGCTGAATTATAATTAAAAAGCTCTTATGCCCTCGTTTGCTTGAATGCTTCTAGTAATTAAAATAAAGGGTATACATGTTTCTCACAGTGCAGCAGGTGTTATATGTGGGACTATGTGACTGCTCGCTCAATAATTACTCGTGCGGTAGCCACCGCCCAAAATCGTTAATCGCAGGTGTCACTCAGTGGAAGCTTATAAGCCGCTTCTGCTAACCTAATTACAGGCTTTTCGCTTTTCTTGCTCTTGCGCCAGCGTTTTCCTCTCGCTTTTCTTGCCCCCACACGCCCATCTTTTCGCTTTTCTCCTGGATTCGCCTATCCAGTGGTTTCGCTTTTCAGAGCCGCGAAGCGCAACCGTTAGATTCGATTCCGAGATATGTAGTCAGTCGGTCGTTCGAGCAATATTCGTTCGCAGATATTACCGCATGCGGCGCGATTATGTGGTACATATTATGTGTCAGCAGGTGAGTGGAGCAGAAAGTGGTGGAAAAACGGTTGAATAAACTGTCCGACATGCAACATGTCAACGGCTTATCAACGGGATTTCGCTCCGAGTTCGATGGCAGCCGATGGTTTTCTGGGTGGCTTAGCTTAGCATGACGGGCCATTGCAATTGACTATGGATGGAACCGAACTGGGCACAGGTGCCATTTCGTTCAGAGCCGAATTTAAGCGAATGAAATTGGGTTTACAGAAGCGGTGTCAGTTTAATCGTAAATTAATTGCGCTATGACAGATTAAAAGAATGCCAGGAATACATTCAAATTTAATGGCAAGTCACTGTCATACCAGTGTTTACTTTTCGACCGGCTGTCAAAATCCAATTTATTCGTTTGGTATGATTAACATGATTAACATATCCCAAAGACCGAAAATGAACAAGAGCTGTAATAATTTTGTTCAAGCTAGCGAAACCTGGCTGGTTAAGGACTTTGGTAGTTCCTTTAAACTACGATTTCAATGAACCTAATGCAACATTTTAAGATATTAAGAATCATTCTTTGATATCGAAATCTTCGTACTCTAAGAAAAATAAATTACTGTCGCATGTATTTACGTAAAACACTTGTTAGTAATTCACTCAAGCCACATATCCTTTACTCCTCACAATTCCCCACACATAGCCATTGGTATAATTTATAACTTTAATCCGCTTGCTCGGCGTTATCCTTTCGGTCCCACGGCGCATACTTACGAATGGCTTCATTTTAGCTAAGATCACACGATTGAGCTTCGAAAAGGAGTTTCGGGGACACACTGGGGATGAGCGGAAAACTAACTACACACGACACACGGCACAGGCACTGGTCGCTGGACGCTGGTTGAACCTCCTAGAACCACGACTAGGACTGTTAACGAACTGTGCTGACTGCTGGCTGGCGGCCCTAATATATACCGCCCGAGACCGGCGAGACCGGAGACTGGGGATTGGGGAGCCGCAGCAGAGACACCGCAGCCGAGACTCCGGCTGAGACGCCGGCGCATGCGCAACATTGGTAACAGCAGCGAACACACCGCAACACCAGCAATATCGGGCATACAACGAAAGCCAACGAGAGCAAGCGCAGAACAATGTGTGGTACCAGTTCCAGAGTAATCGAATTACCACTTTAATCGGGGCTCGAAGCGGGTTTTGGCCAGAGCCGAAGTGGAAATCGCAGCCGAAGAATGTGTATCAATCGCTTCCATTGGAGCGACACTGCAGCATGTTGCTGGCGTGCAGTTGCACTGGCAACATGTTGCTCGTGCGTTTTCTTCGCTGCGTTTGTCACTACGGAAAAAATCACGGCTGCCATGACCTTGCTTTCAACGCGATCTAATTGCCGGTTTTGGTTTCAACCTGGCTCAACATCAAGCGATTAATGTATTTCATTTGATGTTTTGGGGGGCTACCTCTTTGACTTCCGCGGTGCGGACAATTAGCACTCATTATTTGGCCACGGGATTAGGCCGATCTTATCGCTCAGTGCCTTTCCAAAAAACGCCCAAGAGCCCCGCCCCAAGCGCACCGCTCGATCAAATTAAAAAATTCTTACCCACCGCTTGCAACATGCCCCAACGGGGGCCATAACGAAATGTGAGCTGGCCAATTTCTGGGCGTTTGCCTCTTTAATCATTGAACTGCATCGGAAAACGAAACGAAAACTTTGCAAATTAAAAATAAGAGAAACGAGAGCACTGCCCAAAGAAGCAAGCGGAAAACAAAAGACAGCAAAATGGATTTTCTATACACTTTTGGCCACCGTTGTTGCCACATGTTGCAGCATTTCTTTGCTGTCCGCTAATCTAGATGTTGCACTCACAAATGCACTGGGAAAAAGCAATATTTTACAATACATAAAAAAAGAAAACGAATAATTGCTTTACTTAAGATAATTAGGATTAATTATTAAATAAATATAATATTTATCGAACACTAAATGTTTAAGTAAAAGATAATTTCGAATATAAAAGATCTTTAAAAGGTTTCGAAAGAATAGCTCTTGTATATTAAGCATATATCACGTCTTTAAATAGGTTTTACGATTCATTCAAAAAAATTTGCATCTCCTCAGTGCTAATGATTTTGCAAACTTCTTAATCATAATTGATCTTCTCATTTAAGAAAAGATATCCCTTTTTGACCCCCAAAAAAGCCATTTTTTATAGCTCAATTAATAATAAGTAATAAATAAAATTTAATATTATGAATTTCGATTCCATATCTGTGCATAGTTTAAATGCGAATATTGCATCTTTTCTCCATGTGTAGCAGTGAACCTCTCTTTTCCGTTGCAATATAATGAGTGTTTGCACCCTGACTAACTTTGATTATTTGCGTTCGATAAGCGGAATCGGGAGTGCGGGTGGCTATATGCCTATGAATATATAGAGGGTATGTGGCACACTCCATATTCTCGAGCTCGTATCGGCAACTTAATTTGTTTGGCTTGCCTGCCACCAATTTAATTTGAATAAACCAACTTCAAACTGCTCTTTTGAACCCGCGTGTGCAGTTGTTGTTTTTTTGCGCGGGCGGGCGATCAGTTTGGGGCGTGTTTGACATTTTTGCGGTATGCGCAACATTATAAATTATATTTTTTGCCGGTGCCACTTTTGTTTTCATTTTATTAGCTCGGCCCACTGTCGACAGCTGTGGGCCGACTGCCTGAATGCCTAAATGCATAAATGCCTGACTGGCTCAAGTGCAATCCACACATTTGTGGATTGTCGAGGTGCCCACCTTCAGCCAGTTCCAACCCGACCCGATCCAATCCAGCTCCATTTGCGAGCGGCGTCTGTAATTATGGTCTTGGCTTTTCATGCGAACGCAAGTGGTCGGGTGTCGGGCAAATGAATTCTGATCTGTATCTGGGTGAAAATTAACTAATTACCAGGTAATAACGCGTATTATGCAATCAGAATCAATTTATCTAAATGTATTCCTAATCTAAGCGCAGCCATGCTTGAGTGTATTTTAAAATGTATTTCTTGCAATGCTACTAATCACATCAATATCGGTCAATAAATTGTAATTGACTTGAGTAAACATTTATTGAAAAGGTAACTACTTTGGTAGGTATTTGATAGTATAGTTAAACAATATAACAATATGAAATATATCCCTGAATCTGTTATTATGTTAATACTTTGTTGGTTAAATTGTTACAGTTTGTTAAATTGTATTTGCTGCTTTGAGAACACTTCCCCATTTTTTTCCAGTGTTCCCCTTTTGGGCTTACTCATTGTTTGTTTAGCACGTTCCAATGCCAAACTGTCTTTCCTTCAAAAAAGAATACTGAAAACTATTTTGTACCACTTGGGAGTCGCCAGAATTCCTATATCTGCAGTCATTGTGGATTTTAAGATACAGGGAATGCCAAACAATTGTGAACAGCAAAAAAACCTTCAAGTGGGCGTAGGTTGGGCAGCACCCCTTCTAGTTTTTCAGGTACTTGTTGCCTTTTGATCCATTTGAATATATGCAAATCAGGACTGGATGCAAACTGCATAGATGTTTTCCAATAAATTGCCTGCTCGCTTTCAGCCTTAATTGAATTGCTGTTATTTACAGTTATGGGCCGGAAAATAACATTTGCATCTGCATGGAATTACCTTGTGGGCAGTTGTTGACTCTGCCATCGGTTGTCTTTTGATTCCGATTGCAGACGTGCATGGCTAAATCATGTTCAATTAATTTAACTAGCTGTTTAACATCATAATTAAGATGGATAGCGGGTGGTGGTGTATTATAACACTAGTTCAGTGCGACCAGCGAAGCCATTACGCAAATGGAGCGGGTCCGCTTCTAGTCGGAGCAATTAGTGGTAATTAATATTTAAAATTCTGCCCGAAGACAATAAAATTCTTCATGACGTGTCGCAATCGAATCTAGCTTGGCCAATACCAGTTGCAATCGGAATTAGCTTGGCAACACCATCGCCCATGCCTTCTAGCCTGGTCACGCATCACCTGGCCAAAAGACAGTAAGGCTGAAGTCTGAAAACTACTTACAAAATATATTAAGCCTTTGAAAAAATGTAACAGTTAATCAAATAGATTTATATATATGCACACTACTTTTCTATATTTATTTTCCAAAGAAAACAGACAGCTGCAGCGGAATGGAAGTCAGGTTTTTTGAATTTTGCCCATTAAAATCTGCGTAAGTTGGTAAATGTTTAAAATGCCGACTCGATCTCTAAACACATTATATACCATAAGATGGCCATGAAATCCGCGAATTCGTCCCATCGTACCATTTTGGCATTGAAATTCTTCTATCACTCGGTTTTGGCTGTTCCAGACGGTGGTATGCCCTGGTTTGCCCAGCGATGTGGATGCAGTGAAGCGTTGAGTGCCTTTTGGCCATGCGGATGCAATCGGGGTGTAAATGCCCTCTTGGAAATGGCCAATTGAAGGCAGCGGCTATAGCAATCGTGTTGGTCGATTTCGTTCTTTGCCTCACTTACAACTTACAAACTGTTGCTTCGAATATTTGTGGTGAATTACAAATGTTAATTGGTCCGCCAGTTGGGGCCATAAGACAAATAAGTTTATGATGCGAGAATTGAGCATTCCTTGGCTACAGGGTGGTGGAATAGGTTCACTTGGTAGTACTCATTGCACACCGTAAGTTTCCGCTTCCCAGCTTTAATTGCCCCTAAAAGAATGTATACAAACACCCTGTCTGCTGCCATTAAAGAATTAATTCAATGTGCTAAGCGTGCAGAGGCAAATAAATCATTAAAATTTATGAATTTAATTGGCTCCAATTATTGCCGCAGATAAAACCTAAAGCAAGCTACAACAACTCTAATCGAATCGAATTGAAACCACAATACTCTTCGGGATTTGACTTCGAATCGAGTTGAGTGGTTGGCGATTCAATTCAATTTCGCTTCACGAACAGGGGCCACCCTAACGTGGAATTATGAAAATTATAACCAGGGACTTTGGCTAACATATTATTAGGGTGTAGCTGACGAATGAACGCGGTCCAGGTGGGGCGCAACCATATCTTTAAGTATCTGCATCTGAATCTGTGTATAAATCTGTATCTGGCATTTGTCACATGGCGACCCAAGCTAATTGGCAGAATGCTGGTGGGGTTAACCAACCCAAAGCTGCGGGCGTAGCCAGCAGAAAATAAAATTGCAAATTTCCAATATGATGGATTGGCAACGGGCAGAGCCAGAGTTTTGCTTTGGGATGCCGCTGCAAAGAGGTGGCTGCAGTTGCGCAGATTCATTCCTAGTTGGCCAACGTGGGAGGGTTCAGATGCGGTAATGGGCTTGGGTTCTCAGCGGTATCTGCTGCGATCTAATGGCCCAGTTCGAAACTGGTCAGAGGCACAGCGTGGCAGGCATCCAGCCATAAGCAATTTGACACGTCACAAACGGGTTTCTGTTCACTTGCAACATCTCGGCCTGCAGCGAGTGGTCGGTTTACCAGCTGGGCGCCAGGTTGATACCCTCGCCACACCCACATGTCGCACCGGATTCCTGCAGTTGACACACTCGTGTCCTGGCCCAAAACGTCGCACAATCACGAATGACCAAATTTGATATTTCCATTTTCTAGCAACGCAAATCCGTCGTCATCCCGCAACCTCGTGACATAAAGTGCGCCGAGCGAAAAGTTAAAATTTTTGGAGGCGCACCTGCAAAACGGACACAGTAAAGATATAGAGAGACATGAAAATCCATAGCTAACCCACATGCATGAAACGAGGCCTTAAAACTCCAAGCTGACCACTGACCACCCAGAAATTGTTGGCAACGTGCGATGTCAGCCAGGTGAACATAAAGTTGGCCAACAAAGTAAACAACCAGGATGGAGCGTAACAAGGGGTCATAAAACCTAACAGAATGCTGCACGCTGATGTCTATTTTATTTTGTTCAAATGCACAA